CAGACGACAGAGACAGACGACAGAGAGACAGACGACAGAGAGACAGACGACAGAGAGACAGAGACAGACAGACAGAGACAGACAGACAGAGACAGACAGACAGAGACAGAGACAGACAGAGACAGAGACAGACAGAGACAGAGACAGACACAGACAGACAGACACAGACAGACAGACACAGACAGACAGACACAGACACAGACAGACACAGACAGACAGATACAGACAGACAGAGACAGACACAGACAGACACAGACAGACACAGACAGACAGAGACAGACAGAGACAGACAGAGACAGACAGACAGACAGAGACAGACAGAGACAGACAGACAGACAGAGAGAGAGAGAGAGAGATGGAAAGAAATGACTATCCCCTCTCTAAAGCTTGCAGTTAAACCATGCCATATCAAATCTGCGGGCCGATTTTGGAGACCACTTGATAGGTGACGTTCAAAAGATCCACTAGCACAGGGCGGTGCTGAGCAAAGGTCGCAAAGGGGCCTGTCTTGAGGTCTTCACCTTCTGCAACCCTTGGGTTTTCACATTCAACCGTCAGCAAGGAGAGCTTGATAGAGAAGCTGTTCTTTCCCACCTTTGTCCCCTCTTTGGGCAGCGAACTGGGCGCGAGCTTGGCCAAGTCTCCTGAAGGAGACTATGTAAGTGTCATCGAATCAAGGATGCTCAGGCATGCCAGTAACTGTAGGTGTTATGTCGAGACTATCACTAATACCATCCAATACCACTTGGGTGATGGATCAGTTTTGAGAACGATCTTCTGCTGAAACGAAACCCCCAAAAAACCACGCCCCAAATGGGTGTGCCCTCCACAACGCGGACACCCTGTCACTGCTTTTGCTGCACCATCCCAGTCCTGAGGTCGCCATTTTCGAAGGCCTGGGCGTTCAGCTGTTCCCGGCGATACAGGGCGAGTCCCAGTAGGTCGCCATTGAGTCCGATACAGTGTGAACGACGCCACAAACCATCAATTTTGGACAAAAAAGGGGGTGATGTGTTTTCTCCTTTGTTTGTGTTTTCTCTTTTTAAGCCCGCCCGTACTTGATTAAGTACGATTAAGTAGGTGCCTACTTAATTAAGTAAGGGAGTAAGCTACCAGCTACTAAATTCTAGTATATAATTGGATGCAGGATTAGCTCATGCGTCTTCAAAGAAGCTGGGTTGTAGCTGAGGGCAGGAGATTCCTTGAAGAAGCGCTCGAACTAATGATTTAGTTCCTAGATGTTCCTAGATTTTGTGGGAAATTCAACAAATCTAGGGTTGTATATATCACAATATCATCATTATATATCATGAATGTTTTTGCTGCTGCCCTGTCTTAGTGCTTGGAGGCTGGCAAGGGAGCCAGCCCAAGGCCAATCATCAGTGCAAACAATGTGACATGTGCAAACCCACCAGACTAGCAATCCACCCACACACAGCCACTCATCTCACTACATGAGGCCATCCCATAGGATGTGAGCTTCCACAAGCAGGCATCCCGGAATCCCTACCAATGCATCAAAATGCATCCCCGCAAACTCGATCTACTCGCCCGTCTCCACCATCCGCTATCAGAAGCAAATCTATCTAAAACCTCTACAAGCCCATGCAACATCCAACCCCCCAGAAGCCCAAACAGCTTCTGATGGCTCTTCTCACCCAGCTGCAAATGTCCCTGCTGCACCGCTCGCGCCGTGAGCTGCTCCCGCAGCTGCAGCACATCCGGCAACTTCAGCGTCTCGCCCTCCGGCTCCTCGGGCGCGCCGCTTCCGGCGGCGTCCTGGTGGAGCCATGGGGCCAACACGGTCGTCTTTGAGCAGAATGTCTTCTGCTGATTTCTGTCGCTAGAGATATGAGATGCGCTTCCCAACACCGATTCGCGGTCCCATCACAAAGCTGCTGGGCGACTCCCCCATGCTCAGCCCTGTCTTTGGATTGCGAATGGCAAGGAACATGCTCCGACGTATCTATATGATGTTATAGAATATGTTTATGCCTACCTTGGTGTGGTTTCAGTGGTCAGTCAGTGTGGGTAAATCTTCCACATCTTCCACAAAGGGTCAACAAATCCGCCCGCACGGGCATCTGTATCCGGATGGCCGGATGGCATAGTCAATCGCAAGATTTCAGCTTTAGCTGGGTGGGGGCCCTTTATCGGCCAAGAAACTTGAGTTTTTGAAGGTTGTTAAAAAACACCAGCAGTTAATGAAGGCTTTGGGACACGCACATGTTTGAGTGGCACTAACAAACACCAGCGGCATCATGGTACGGCTCTAGCTGGCCAGGGGTTCGGAATGGGCCAGATAGAACTGAGACGATGGGAATCTACAGTATGTTTTTTAAATGGCACTCAGAATATCTCTTGAAAAGCAGTTTGAATCTAGCCACCACCAGTGCTTGCAACCATGCTATAACGCCACAAATACGGCAACATTGCCACAAACATTTCTCCCTGCGCTGGTGGACCCAGCCGCGTAGCTGCGCGAATAAGCCATTTGCATGTTACATGGATCCTACTCACTCTGAGTTCGTCATGGTGTACGGCCCACTCAAAACACTGCCTCGCCTCTGGAGGGATCCCATCTGCTCCGTCCTGGCGATCTCCAACGGAGTGCAGCGCAAAGCAGAAACATTGCATCGGTGCGTGACATCTCCCTCTCCTGTCTGGGGGGGTGCCCACCCAAATCACCGGAAACCTCCACATCTGAAGATTTGGGCCAATCAAACCAAAGGAATCTCAGGCATCGATCGATCAACTCCGCGGCAGTCCTCTTTACTCACACTCTTTGGCTCTGCCTTGCTGAGTCTTTGCTGTGCCGCAGCCAACTTCTGCTGAAACAAGGCCTCAATGGTGCCGTGTCTTTGGGTGCACGGGTTTTTGCGAAGCTCACTGGCTCAAGTGATCGGTAGCAAAAGCTGCTCTGTTCCTCCACTAGTAGGCTGTCTTTGAGCTCGTGCAAATTAACCGTGCCAAGCGTTCCAGAAGGGCATTGGAGTCAAAACTCCACTTGTACTGGCTCACGGGCTCACGGCATCCAGAACATTTTTGGAACACCTGGTCTCCCTCTGAATGATGTGTTGCGTCCCAGCATCATGACGCTTCCCAAAGCCCGAGAGGAAATCAGTGTCAGGCATGCCTGGCACTGATTGAGACATGCAGTGTGCATATTGCGGAACACTTACGCTAGCAATCCGTCCCATATACCCTCCAAACGTGAAATGTTCTCGTTAGATAGGTCGCACAACCACACGCATAGATCTCTCAAGATTGCTTCCAACATCTTCCAACTATCTATGGAACTGTGATGGATTTGTAGCTCAAATCAAGATTCATGCCCCTGCCTTGGCCTTAAGCCACGGCAGGACCGCGCGATCGCCATGCCAGACTCACACTCCGCGTTCTCCAAACACAGTGATCGTGCCATGTGCCCAAGCATGAACCACCATGGCATGTCTCCCAAAACAACCATCCAAAACCGTATCCATGAAACAGCATCTGCGATCTGCATTGGCACTTCCACCTTTTGCACAAGGATGGTGGACATGTGGCTGCGCATCTTGGACCATCAAGGAGCCCTTCACTCCAAGCGCAAATGCTTGCCAGCGTCTTCAGAATTCGCAAGATACCGAGAAAGAACCGCTCGCGGCGAAGGCGCGGATGTATCGCAGATCCCCTTATAGGCTAGGAAAAGCAAACGTCCGTTAAATCATTCAAAACAAGTTGTCGGCCCCATGACATTGGTTCGCAATACTTAACAAGATCCGCCACTGGGGAGTCCTATCATCCATCAAAATCCGGAGTGCCCATCATATGGGTCACAAATGGTCACAATATTGTCACAATGCTACCTAAAACGGCCAATGACCCTCTATCTGTTTCGGAGCCCTGAGTGCCGACGGACCGTAGTCCACGTCCTCGCCATCGGGACCTGCAACATCAGGGCCGAAAGAAACTGGGCTTCAGTGGAAAGACGACTGGTCCCGTGAATTGGGAATCTGGGCTTCAGTCTCTAAGCCAAAAACGAAGAAATCATAAGCGATTCTCAAAGAAACTCCGGAGTACCTGCTCCAAGTTCCTCAGTTTCCTTCAGGGCCCACGTTTGCTAAACCTCTCCCCCATGCAGTTCAAAGCGCACACCTAAAGATCCTGATTGACGGACTCACTAACTACAGGGTTCCAACACTCAGATTTGTTTGGTCATTCTTCCAAATGCTAGTGAGTTCAACATCAATCTTGTCTCAAAATGAAGTGGGCCACCTGAGTCACTTAGGAGTTCAACCTTCATCCTACTGATGGCAATCCTCCTCTTTGACAAACCCATGCAGCCGGCACCCGTGCTGCACATTCCTCTAGGCATCCGGCTTAGCTCCGGGGTGAAGAGCACCTTCTCTTCCACCTGGGCATCAGGCACGCACGCACACCACATTGCGTGGCACACCGCGCGGCTCATGCGTGCCAGAAGGAGTTGAGGGCCGGGCATTCGTGAAGGGCATGAGCTCTGCCTCCATGGTCTTGACCTCGGAGGCTTTGCGTTGGCGTTGCATGTAGGGTTAAGACTTGCAACGACAGGCAACCACTGGAAATTTAGATCTATGTTTTTGTGAGGTCCTGAGTAAGGAACTCAGCAAGAAAATAGTGAACATAGGTTGGGGTGTTCGTGCAACATGTGGAAAACAGCAATCAACAAGTGATTGCGGAGACCTAGGAAAGCAAAGCATGGACAGGAAAATAGCAAGAAAATAGTGAGAAAATAGTGAGCATACTGACTGACATGTTGTGAAACGCCTCCCGAAACAACACGTGACGTTTATATATTAGGTTTCGATTCTGGATTGCTTTTTTGATCACATGTTGGCAACCTTTTTTGCTTTCTTATTGCTTTTGGTATCCAAATAGTTCAATCACATCACCTTTGGATCGCTTGCTGCTCACCTTTCCGCTCACTATTTTTGACTTGTCCCCTATCCTGCACTCTGAGATTGCTTTTCGTTTGCTCCAACTCCTACTCCGAAATCACTAAAAAAATATGTTGGCCACCCTCAGCGGTTGGCTGGACTCCATCTCTCAAATGTAGGGACTCGTGAATGCCGGCTTCCCCAGAAAATCGAAAGGGCCGGGGATGTCCCGGTCATTCTTTTGGACCCCAAAAAGGTGGAGTTCACCGAGCCGGCAACGGCCATGTGCGCCCGACATTTTTTGGGCACCGGACAATGCTAGTACTACGCACTGCCTCCTTCAGCATGCTGTCGAACTCATTCAGGAAGTCCTGGCATGCCATGACAGGAGGATCATCTATCCATAAGAATTGTATACTTACCTCTGAGGGTGGTTTTGAGATATTTTGAGGGTGGACGGTTTGATAAGTTTTGCGAGATGAAGTCCTCTACTATGACAAATGCATCCACTCGAAATCAGCTAAAGCTGAGGCTAGCTGTCTAGCTGCTGCCAAAAGAGAGAGAGACAGAGAGAGACACACGCCAAGAAATCAGTTGAAGGTGACTTGAGCCCACAATCCCCAAGATCCAAGTCTTATCTCCCGTCCGTAGGCTCTGGCTCCAAGTAGATCTCGTCGTTGTCCGCCTCGCGAGATCATTTCGACGCGTGCCGTCAAGGCGGCAGTCCACACTTGGAGATCCATTGTCACAACATACGTGCATGTAAGCTTATCTATATATATATAAATTCATCATATCCTCCTTGGTCTTGTTGTGGGGTGCACATACTAATAGTTTCACTTCAAGTGCTTTCCCACCACTGGGTGAATCCCGGGATCCTTACTACTCCTGCTGCTGCTTGCTCCTGCTCCTGCTCCTCCTCCTCCTCCTCCTGCTGCTGCTGCTGGGTGAATCCTGCACACCATCTGACGATCTTTTCCAATTGACCAGCCTCAAGGTCCAAATATATCAGCGGATGGGGCCGCTTCTTCTTTGGATCTGGCAGGAAGGACTTCCTCAGCGAGCCATTTTGAGCTCGCTTCGACCAAAGCCGAGCGGAATGTAACATACTCATCATCATCACGGACCAAAACAGTCGTCAAACGGGTCATGCCACTGAGAAACGAACAAAAGTACGGTCTGCACCCTTCTTGAGGTCATTGATATTCTTGTTGGTAGACAAAGCAGAGAAACACATTTATTCTGGTGCACGAAGACATCTGCTGCCGGAAATCCGCTGATGGAAATAGGTTGTCCATTTGAAGCGTCATGTTTCATTGGTGTCGTTTTTTCCGGGTTTCTGGGGTCTTAAAGCGCCAAGGCTCAAGAAGTTGCTCCAGGATTCCATGGAATCTTCCACGAACCTCCGTCCAAAATCCAGTGACCCAACAACTCCCGGAAAAAAACGAGAATCCATTGCTTCGGTTCCATCTACATGCATCATCATGCACACCGTCCCCCTGAGCTCCTGCAACAAGCTCTTCCCGCATCTGGCCCACCACAACTTTCGGTCCCCATGAACCAGTTGGTTGGCTGCGAAGAAACGGGTCACTCGGAGCCACCAAACACGATCAGTGCCACTGAAGCTGATTTCTCGGTCTGAAACAAGCACGCGACAACGACCCCGAACGAGATCGGGGCTAGGTAAAATATAACCACATCATCGGTTTGAAGAAACCGGCATCATAGAATATAAGAGTAATCGGTAATAATAGGTTTAATTGAATATGCTTAATTTGTTCGGTCCCAAAAAGGATGTTCCTGCTCGGGGACCTGCAGACTTGAAGTCGGCGTCGCGAGCTCTGGAGCTCTTGACTCTGCGCCGAGTGGCCACCGAAGTTGAGAATTGATGATCAAGTCCTCGGATCAGCATGGGTGCTGAAGACAAAAATCTCACCAAAGAAACGTTCAGCTGGCATCCCGGGGGGGCATGTCGACCATTATATAAATGAACGTGTGGAACTTAATCGTCAGTTCTGCGAACGACAAGAAGGCTTCAACGTTTGGACCTGCAACTCGTGGTGGTGCTGTGAAGATGGCAGAAATTGACTGTAGACAACAACAACCGATAAAAACAACAACAACATAAAATAGCAAGAAGGATGCAGGATAATTGCCATACAATCATGGAAGCTTTCTCAGCCCCTCTCTTTACGAAAACGCGTGGTCTTACAATGTCTTTACCACGGGGCTCTGGCATGGTCGAACTCTTCCACACATCAAAGTCAAGGTGCTAACTTTCGAAGTAGCGCATGCAGCGGACCTAGGAACCCCCAGGTACTCCGAGCCCAACGGGGAGTACTCCGAGCGAGGGTTTACACAACGAACTCTCCAAATCCAACGCCTATAGTGACTTCTGCATTCGAAAATTAAAAAACAACAACGACATCCGAAAAAAGGACGGTTTTTCTCTATGTTGGGGGTGTGGAAAGTTGTCTTGAGTGGGCAGCTTTGCATGTGCTTCTCGAAGTCGTCGCTGAAAAAGTTGTAGTCGTCTGAGAGCTTATCTAGCACCTGGCATCAGCGCGGGGCCGGCGCCGGAAGACCTACAGATGCCACGGACTCCTCGTGTCGTTGCGCAGCGCCCAACAAACATCAAGCCCAAGCCCCGCTTGTTTCTGGTCGGCCTCTGCAATGATGTAGTCGCGCCAGCCACGCTTCAAGTGGGTGGTGATTCTTTCGATATGGTTCTTCTGATGCTCGAACATGTCCTCCCGCAGGCGGTCTCATCTAATCTAGACCAACACGGATCCATGTGGATGCACCCTGTCGATGCATCCTGGCGAATAACTTCCCACTACCCACCCATCCCACCAAACCCTCCCAAACCCTGCCCCAGTCGTTGCCTCGCCCAGCCCCGGTCCTGGGGCTCGAAAATCACCGAGTCGCCGTTCTTGATGAGCTTCCGCTGCCGCGTCACGTCCACGCCACCCACACGGGAGGTGTCGACCAGCTCCATCTTGGCCACCTCGTTGATGTACCGCCGCCAGACCTCAGAGGACACGGCCAAACAGGTGGCTGGCACATATGGGGTTGATGGTGAATGGAAGGTCAGGTGGCTGTTTGCCCCAAAAAACCGGCAAGGGAGGATGGGAGGTTTGCCAAATGGGAGGGTTGCAGATGATGAGGCAACCAGCCATCCGAAAACAGGTTGGTTGCTCTGCCCATCGCACCTGGCTGGTGATGGCGAAAATGCTGGAGCCCAGAAGTGGCATCTGCAACATCTCTTTGAGAAGCTCTCTGACGCCCATCTGGCGGCCGAAGGTTGGACGGATCTTGTTTCCGATGGTTGACACGGATGGCCAGCTGCAGATTGATATTGGAAGATGAACAGAATTGAACATATGAAGAGCATAGCTTTGGCTCTTTCGCATTCTTTTGCCATGTTATGTACCATTCGCTGGTGGGGCCGCTCATCTACAGGAGAACCCGACCCAGGTCTGTTCGCAAAAAGATCATCAATTGCGTCCGAATCGATTGCGCAAGTACTCCATATAGCTCTTGCTGAGGCGATCTGATTCTCCTAAAAGACAGTAGAACCAAGGCCACCAGGTCAAGAAGCTTACTGAGGGGTGGAGATCCAGCAAAAACGTCACAGTCCCAGTCACCCAATTTATCGACGAGAAGGATGGGGCCTCATGGAAACCCCAAAAAATGCCTCGTCCTGCCCGCCTCCCTAGATCCCAGCCAAAGATCCCAGATCCACGGATAGGAAATGCGAAAACTCTTCCAATGATGGTAGTAACACCCAACGGGGAGAGGAGCTGTTGCTTGGGATTGCTAAGGCTTAGGCCAAGTTGCATTTGGACAAGAATGTCACGGACAAAATACAAGAACTTCACACCTGGGGTTGGGGATTGACATGTTTCAGTTGATGATTGCCTCGGCTTTTGCATGCTCCACCAGCCCCGATTCCGGGCAAGGCAAGGGCAAGAAGCCTGAGTTTTTGTACTTTGCAATCACAATCAAAAAAAGAAAACACTCTATTAGGTTGGAGACCATCGCTCTATAGGATGGAGGCCATCGCTAGTAGGTTGGAGGCCATTGCTCTTAGGTTGGAGGCCATTGCTATTGGGTTGAAGGCCATCGCTTCAAACAAACACGCTCTTGGCCTTGGGTGGCCAAACGACATTCCAACACCTCGAACCATCGAGACATCGCAACAAGGCTGTGCATTCAAGAGCAGGTGAGCAGCTGCCCATGACGGATGCAAACTGCATCGAAAATTCGTTGGACTCATCCGGAAGATAGGCGTCCTGTCAACAAAGCCACCTCTTGTGCATGGTGCAAAGTGCAAAGCCAAAAGTTCTGAAAAAGCATGAATGTCCCACGTCCTTTGTGCCAAACAGCGGGATCAGCTCCACCTTCACATTGAACCTAGGTGAGCAACATTGTCAGCAAAATAATTCACACCTGGACACACCAAAGGCTATCTTGTTCCGCAGTGGATCCCAAATCGCTGGGTCAGGAGTTGACATGATTTGTCTGTGAACCTTCTGCACTTTATGCATGCATTTACCGATTTACCCCCCCTCTCCCACACCAAGCTTACTAAACAGGCCCAAGCACAGCTTCATGGAGAGGATGTAGTTCTCCTCGACTGATGCTCATTGCGACCGGGAAAGGATGTTTAAAAAGCAGCTCCTCACTTTGGTCACCTAAGAAATCCAACAATTACATAGCCGCTGCAAAAAACATGGTAGTGAAGTAGTGAGTGGGGCGCACCTATTGAATCCTTTCGAAATACATTGTCCAACTCTCAAAGTTCCAATCTCACTCAGCAATCACAACATCACTACAAATACAAGAATCTTGACCCTCAAATACATAGACATACTCATAAGACATAGATTGCAAGTCCCTCTCAAACATGTAACCTGCAAAGCTTGGACTGTAAGAACCCCTCCACGACTTCCCCACCCCCATCAGCCTCCGTTCCCCGCCTCAACCTCTTGCATCAGCTCCCGGATGGTGCTCCCATGGCTATTGGGCTCCTCCAAGCTACATCGCTCCAAGCCTCAATCGAACACCAACCGCCCTCCCACCGACTGGTCTCGGACCGGATGGGTCGAAGAGGACCACGGAGCAAACAGCGGCTGCAGCTGCACACGACATGAACTCCAAAACCAGCCGCCTGTAGTGACTGTAGTGAATGAAGCACACTGCTGTTCTCGAGGTCCATGTTCGTTCTTGGGAGCTAAACATGGACTCTTGACATGATCTTTTCGAACAACACCTCCTCCAAGCATGGAACATGGAGAAACCATGCAAACCAGGAGTTGGTGAGTGTCACCCACCCAAACTGGGAGCTATCCGACGCTGCCGGAAGTCCATGCGTTTCTACAAGTCCTGTAGATCAATCAACAGTGCTGTGGACCACGTGGTTCCATTTGATCGTTGCCCGTGGGCGGGCATTGCCGGTTGCGACCGGTCGCTCCAGCTCGGCTCGTTGCGGCTCGGATGACATGCTCGGATGAAGAACTCCTTCACCGAGCGAGGCATCGGGGTGACCACCTGGTCATCTTTGTGCTCGATGTAGTCGATGAAGGCTTCTTGCAGTTCACAATGCGCCTGCGTCGTGACGCGTCGCCGACCCCTTCGGCCCGATCCACGGGCGGACCCGATCCACGGGCGGACGGCACGTGTGTGCCCTGGGCAGCACATGGCCCGTCCGACGCGACTTCATGCAGATGTCCCGACCACGTCAAAAGCACCTATTGGGCACACAGTTACGGTTTACCGCTTCATTGGAGTCGGAGGATGAGGAGAGGGGGGCATGTGCCCTGTTCCCATCAACTCGCCTGGCCAATCCCTGGACCATGGGGTCATCCATCATCCATCCATCACTCGAAAGGCGACGCCATGCGACGCATCCAGGGATCCCCATGGCGACGCCCTGGCGGGACTCCTGCACCAAGCCATTCCCCATTCCCGGCCTTCCGAGCTCTACAAGTCTCCACGCGTTTCTCAAAGTTCTGGGGATCCTCCGCGTTGAACCGCAAGGAGAGTCCTTGGGAGTCGAACCACATCCGAAAAAAGGAACCTCAGGAACCTCGATTCACACTGATCCCGAGGGTCTCAGGTGGGTTCTGGTGCCAGGGACCGGTCCTGGTCGGTCCTGGTTGACCAACGGGAAGAGAAACGACGGAAAGGATGTCTGAGAGTTCCTGATGGGAGGAATTCTGGAGTATTGGGACCTCATCTTCCATCATCTTCCCATTTTCATTCGAGTTCCTAAGTCTTTCATAAGTCTTGATGGGAAGCCGCACAGCTATAGTGCAATAGTGGCAACGAACAAAGTCCTAGGAATAATTCTGGGTGCCTGAGAAATGGCTCCACCCACCAAATGACTCTTCCCGCGGGTGTCCACTGGTCGTTGGGGAATTCACACCATGTGACACCGTTGTGTTCATGGATGTTGTGTTACTCGCGGTGCATCTTCAACTTGTAGACCAGGCATGTTTCCAACCCTCTGGAACCCCACAACCCTTGTGGAAGGGTCCGTCTTTTTGGAGCGAGAGTGGCGCGTTGCGTCCGCAAGCTCGAGACCATGTCAAAGCATTTTGATGGTTTTGTGGGAGAAGGATGGACAAGGTGTTCTTCTCTCTCTTACCCTCTCCATCACCAGAAGGTCACCCGCCCCCCAGCTGTAAATGAATGGTCTATGCTGAGGGATCCCCACTTCTCTCAGTCCCACCTGTAGGATCGCAACCGTCTCAAAGGTTTTCTGAAAGCCTCGCTTGCCAAGTTGCTTTTCACCTTCTTTTGGCTTGCGTCTTCCATCTCGACAATATATCCTCAGCACATAGGCTTGCCAAGTCGCAGCCAGCCCATGAAACATGTTCTTTGTTGATTCAGTGAGGTTTGATGAACGACATTGCAGCGCGTGCCCACAACCAGCTTGCTGGCCAGCTGCTGTTGATGGCTTCTTCGTACCGCAGGACCCAGCAGCGGACCATGGTCCATTTTTTGTTCTTGTAATGCACTACGCAAGCCTGTGGCCGCCTATCGTCCCTCAGCACCTCACAGCAGAGCCGATGGTGAGATGTTCGAACATGTTGAATCAGTTGCAGTCAATGCTTCAGACACCTCAGGGCGCCTCACTTTTTGCATTCTTGCAATTGGAAGGCAGGATACGGATAGTATGGCAATGTATGGCATAATGGCAAAGAGGTCTTTACCATGAAGCTAGCAAGAGCTGGGTTCAAGCCTTTTGGTGTTCGGTAATGGTTCAGATCTGCCTCCTCCATCCATTCTTGAGGCGTTTTCACCTCGAAGTCTGGAGCGTGATCAAAGATCTCGAGAGGAAGATTTCTGAAGTTGTAGTGCGCAGTCTCAGCCGGCTTCAAGTACTCCAACTTCTCCTCGTTCCAGGCACTTGGTGGCTTCAATGGAGAAATGCGCGTCAGCCGAATCACACGAAATCGCACTCCAATTGCTTTCTTTCCTCCATGAACGCCCCCCTTTTTGACCTTTAGTCTTCCTTCCCGTGTCTCTGCTACTACTACTCTGGCCATGCTGCCTAAATTGCATAAGCCAAGCTACTTACTTGCGGCGCTCCAGCTCTACCAGCACACACTTCCAACAATCGCAACTCCATGCATGCACACGAGCACGCACGTACTCACCCAAGAGCCTCTTTAGGAGCTTCAGCTGCAGGCTGAGCAGGCGCCTTCGGAGGATAGGCACCTCCTGCGCTGGGCAGGTGGAGGCCGGCGGAGGGCTTCCATAATCAAGACATGACAGCCAATCAGCAATCAGCAACATCGGAAATCAGTGAGTGCCAGCTAATTTGGACCGGACCTACTTTCTCGCGTCTTGGAACATTCTTCCAGGCTCATCTAGTGCATGCAGGTTGCAAAAGACTGCGATTTCCTCACCAAAGGACGTTCAGTTGTTGCTGAGCTGAGGGTGTGCAAGTGTCAGAACGACATGATGACCCACTGAAGTAGCAATCACAACCAGAGGCTTTCTTGGCTGGATTATCTGTGCCCCAACTTTCCGATGTGGAACAGTGGCAAGCAACGTGGAGGTCTTTATATAGTGGGTTGCATATGCTGCATTCAGTTCTTCTTGGCTGGCTTAACATGCATGCTGCACACTTTCATTCGGCCTCAATAGTAGTGGTCGGTTGTTTTTGGGATCCAAGATTCCAGGGTCATTGCTGGTACGGTGGTTGTTCGCCCCAAAATAGCAGATCAACATAGATCAACAGGTCGTGCTGTCGACAGCACCAGTCCAATTCAAAATGTCAGCCTAGACCAAGGGATTTGATATGGGCGTGCATTAAGTAATTTGATGCTATGGGCGTGCATTAAAATAGGGAGACCTCCCCCCCTGGAAGGGGGAAGATAGACCAGTCTAGCCAACGGTTCGGGGTCTCCCTATTGAAATGCACAGCCGCCCTATGCCGTGGGTTCTTTCAAATCCCAGCCACAGGGTCCCTACGAATTGTCAGGTCTCCTGTACGCGCAGGGCTGCTCAGCTCTGGCTGAGCCTGAAGTCCATGAAAGCCGACAGCCGCTGGTGGTAGCTTCTGTCTGTGGATCGCAACATGGTGTTGGTGACGGACCTAGACTAGATATGATGGTCATCAACAAAAAGATCATGAATGAATCCCGTGATTTCGCTGATCATACATCGATAGGGATTTGTGAAGCTATATCTGTGTCCATTCACTGGATTCTGCCATCATAGGAAGTTCCAAGTTCTAACCTGGGTGCGACCGAGCTAGGAGATGCTTTCTCATCTTTCTCACTTCATCTCCATGCGGCTGAGGTGCTAGTGGCTCAGGCCTCGCTAGCTCGCTTGCCTTCATGCCTCATGTTCGATCACTGGTCACTGAGGCCCATGCACAGTAGGCAGGAAAGGGATTTAAAAGGGATGAACAAGGTATCACCATGGCGGAACAGTTGCCAGTTGGATGAGCAGGGCTGTTGCAACAACAAGGAAACGGCAAATCAGCCAGGCAAGCGGCCTCCTCGCAAATCCGGCGTACTGGCGGATGTTGCTAGTGCCTTGGCTGGCGGAGCCACGGCAAAAGTTGTAATATGGAGGATGGGGCTGACATCTGACATCCTTCAATTTCTGATACCGTCATCTTCTCCCCAATTGGGTAACACTCCAACACAAACAGAGTGACCAAACGACCCAACGGTTCGCCATGGTGCCCGCATTTTCTTGCTCATGCCGCCAGGGCCGACAATCTTGCTAGAAAGTTGTCCGATCTCCTGAGCGCCCCGAAGCCGGGGGAACCCAACGTGGGTGGGTATAGGTGGATGAAGGCGAGAAAGCCCACCGTTTGGACATGCTTTGATGTGCCGAAATCGGCCAATCATCCAATGCTCCACTGACAGTTTGGGGCGAAACAATATGAACCCAATGCACTTAAACCACGTTGGATGGTTGTGTTCCACCGCGGAGGGCGTTTTAAAAGAGCTTTGCTTGTAAGATCTTTTAAGCCACATTCACGTCGGGCCCTTGTAGCCTTTCTCAGCAGATTCCGATCACTTCATCCCTTGACCCAACGAACCCGCCATCGGTGGCATCTGCGATCCGCCGACCGGTGATCCAAGTGAGACAAGCCGAATCAAATGGTCTCGGCCCACCCATGATCTGCCTGATGCCCACGATGCCATTTCAGAAGATCAACAAGCAGAATCTTCCCAAATTAGAAACTCTTGGGAAAGACAAGTCTCCGTCCACGTGGGACCAAAAGCTAGTATCACCATGTATAACCATAGTGAGGGGGGTGAGCCAAAACCGCTCTCCCTACAGTCACGCTGTTACCATGTGCGGAAAAAAGGGGCCTTCACCAGTCCACTCTGCACCGACCAGTCGACTGCACCGTCCTGGAGCTGGCCCGAGACGTCTGGCCGTCTGAAACTGGGCACCTCGCCGCGGGCCATCGAGGTAGATGGCCCCGGTGGACGGCTCCGAAAGGCCGAAGGCTGAAAAGGGAAAGCGGTTGGCACCCAGGTGAGCTGGGCCTGACTTTTGGATTTATTTATCTAACTATACAATCCATGATAATATCGAGATATACCGAGTAGTCTATAGGGAAAGGCTTTTTTCGACTGGGATGCCCAACGGTAGGTGCGGACTCAGTCCGCAATGAATGTCACCGCCGAGCAAAGCGCTGAACACTTGCAAAACACTGCCATCATAACCCCTTCCAAAGAGCTCCCTCATACAAATGAGCAACATTTAAGATTACTCAAGCCCACATACAAAAGCACCTATGCACAAGAAGAATGTGATCACCTACAAAGAATCCTCTACCACGAGGCTTTTGCAAGCAAGGCTTGGTGTTTTGTTTCCGTTGTATGTTTGCATGTGCCGATGCCCTCCTAAGCCGTTCACCGTTTCCAGGTCCAGCTTTCGTCGTTTCGGAGACCGGCCGAGACCGTTTCCAAGGCACCGTGAGCGGGTGTGGAGCCTCGATGCGGGGCATGGAGGCCGACTTCTCCATGCCCAGCCTGGTTCCGCTTCGGAGCAAATTCGTGTAGACTCTGAAAGGTTTCGCTTCAAACAGTTTGAAGATGTTTGAAGAGATAATTCGTAAAACAATCGCGATGGCCTCCAACCTACTATATAAACCCCCGCTTTGAATTGGAAATCATCTTCAAATGGGGGGGTGAAACACAATCAAGAGTCTACATTGTCCACACGCATTGTATTTTTTCTGAACATGTGTGAAACATCTGGGCATGGCGACCGGGTGACCGGTCGCATCTCGTAGATCAACCAAATGTCCCGAGTGATAGATGAGGATCCAATATGGGTGTGCATGGAAATTCATGACCAACAAACCCCCCAAAAAAAGGCCCGAAGAGTAAGAATCAAGAGGTCAATGAATCAATATGAATCAACTATACCCACAAGATTGTAAGGTGAAGAAGCCTCCCTGGAGGGCCCCCCCTTAAAGCCTTACTCCAAGACTCAAAACACACATCGGTCCTGCCATGGATGGCCGGCAACTTTGGCGGCGCCATGGGGCCTTTGGCGGAGCCGTCAGCCAATCCCCAAAGGGATCGAAATGGTGTTTATAATAGCTCTACCAGATGGGAGCCTCCACTGGCTGGACAAGCGAACATGTCCAGCGTCATGCTGACTGTTGATTAATACCCCCCCAGAAATGTGCGAAGTTGCGACTTTCAATCAAAAGTCAACATCAGTGGCGAAGCACCCTAGTGGCCCATAGCGCTTGATCACAAGAAGTGCCTTCCTGTTAAAGTGCCTGGTCCGACCACATCACAGCCCGGCCCGACCACATCACAGCCCTGCCTGGCAAGGGCACCCTCCAAGTTCCTAGTTTTACCGAGCGCGTTTCACGCTTTCAGCCACCGGGACGGCCATGATTTTTGGCAGCATGACGGCAATTTGGAGCAACCGGGAGCGCATATGCACATGCTCTCAGGTCCAAGGGAATGGGGGATGCCTATATAGTGGTTATATAGGTCCCGACACCCTGAGACAACCCCCCATCGAACTCTTGCTGGGCTGCTCCTCCAACCTGCCAAAAGGACAGGGCAAAGGCCCTCCAACAAATCAGGAGACCCCAACAAATCTTGCTCCAATCGCTATAGGCTATGGCCCATCCTTGAGCTTGCCCTTGCACTCGCGAAGGCATGGGCAGATTCCCCCCCAGCAACGAAAAATAACACCAGGGCCCAGAACAGAACACAACCAAGGCTCCTAGAGGTAGCTCCAGTTCTGAACTAAGGCTTGCCAATCTCCTGTGATGCCCTGGTGAGGGCAATTTGTGAAGGTCATCTAGGGACAGTCATCCGCACGTACAGTGGCGCCCCTCTGCACTTTCTCAACGCAAGCGCAGTCAAGTCAAACGGACCTGCGCCGAGCTGTGCCTTATGACAGTGGCGAAGGAGTGGTCGCACCAGGCCTTGAAATGATAGTGCATGGTAGTATTAGTAGTGGGTCACTAATTACTTCTGGGGTTCCTTTCCACGTTGGGGACAACCTTGCCAAGGTGGTGAGCTTGTACAGATTGCCAAGCTGGTTTCCGGAAACAGCCATGTTTGCCCCCAAATCCCAGGCAGCATCCTGCCTCTAGAAGCGCTTGAGATATTCACCCTTTTGCCGTACCCAGAGGCGAAAAACATGTGGTGCAAAAAGCATAGCTTCAGGCGTTTCACTCCTCACTTTCTCATCACCCAGCGGGTTGAAGGGGGAGGCTTTTTGCCAAAGAAAGGCTTGGAGCGTCTCAGTACCAGCGAATTCTATGCGGCGGTGCCTGGCCCCTCCAAAGCTGTTTCAAGCAAAATGGGAGTTGTGCAGCATACCTTGCCAGAGATGCATGCGATGCACGAGTGTCTTTTGTTTGGTCTCAGCCCTGGAGTCATCCATGCGACGGGAGGTGGATTTATTGGACCAATAGAAACCAAATGCCCAGTGTTTGGGAGCGCAAATTGAACAAAATGTCGAAACTTTTTTCCAACATGTGATCATACATGTCGGAAGACCAGTCACTGTTTCATTACAAACCTTTACATACCTTTACTATCTAATTATGTGAGATTGGGCGGAGTTGACGCGTTTTTCGGCATGGATCGGCCCAAGCCGTGGGGAAGTCCAGACCGACCACGGCACCACGCCACCACGTCCTATAAATTGCTCATCGCAGCACCGCGGGACGTTTCGCGGCGACAGCGAGGTGCCACGCCAGCGGGTGCGGCGCTGTTGAGAAAGGAGAGGTTCAAGGAAAGGTGTGCTCATTCTCAATAACTGCATCGTCCTCTCACTCTGGTTCCCGTCTGTAGTATAGTATAATAATATACGTGTTGTATATGGTGCTTGAGGTTTTCGCTGGGTCGAACACTTCAAAGCATTGTTCGGGCAAACAGAGGCGCCCCTGGCATGAACGAAACGGAACGTGCTGACTTCCCTGTACACCAAAGGTCTGCGCGAAAAAGACGCACTGCAAAATGCTGTTTCGACATGTTTCGACATGAGTGCCGTCTACCTCGTGCAGCTGTTGGGCATGTTTCCGATGCCCGGCCCGATTAGGCCGATGGTCTAAACAGCCATGAGTCAACATGGCACATGCAAAGAGGCTAAAGCATATTGAAATACAAGGGTCAAGGAGCCATCTGTGCAACCTGGAGGGTGATGCGAAATCCTCCCAGCAAGGTTGGTCCGATGTCATTTCGCTCCCTGCCAGCCCTCCAGCCCCAAATCAGGCTCCCCTTCGCGGACCCGAATTACGGCGCGCGCCGCGCCACTGCACGGTCCGCTCGGCGGACCTAGTCGTTGGACGCCGGAGGCGTGTGGGACGGTAGAGGGTCCGACTCGCCCGGCTGTTGGGACTTCAGGAACTGGTTCGCGTCGGTGTGGACCAAGTGATGGGGACTCTTGTAATAGGTCACCTTTGTCTTGTGCATCTGCCTGAGGGCGAACATGTGATTCAAATAGATCGACTGCACTATCGACCGGGCCAAGAGCCTAGGGTTTGGGCGACGAGCTGCGGCCAAGCGACTGCTTCAGATCGCGCTTCCTCACTTGTGTGGCGCACGACCATTGGAGTGAAAGAGCAAGAGGCATATGAAAGTGAAGTTTTGTAGTTTGTTGGGTGTGTTGAGTCTGCAATTTCTCAGCGGAGCAACTGAATGTCTCCAAGCAGGAGTTTCACCTACTTCAAGGGGTGGAAACTGTTCCGCCAATGACAAATCCCTATGGCAGGGTCCCTATGGCCCACACCCTACTGCTGCCTCCAAGAGGTATTCGTCATTGACATGCTGATGCTGCTCGGATGACATTCCGCCATCGAATGGAACTTGCTTTGCTCTTCATAATGGGTGGCACAAGTCTTATAGACTATACTGTGCCATATTGTGCCATACTCACAGAAGAGAACCCAATAGAAATATCAACTACCTCTGGTCTTAGATACACACTCCCATGTTTACAACAACTTGACATCTCTCCACACCAAGCCCATCACCGAGCCAAACCTGCTCACCGAGCAAAACGCCAAGCGGCTCTTGGAAGTACCAATCTTGGAGCTGCTCTGGCAGCATCCGGAAGAAGGCAGACTTCTCCTACACAGCTCCAAACATGTGGCAGAAACCTATATCTAATCCTATATACATGTTCCCAGCTGCCAAAGGTCTAGCATTGTCTAATCCACGTGTCCAACATTGGTCAGGATGTGTCTCTGTTGTTGTTGTGTTCGATCGGGGCAGGGAGAGAGAGAGAGAGGGATAGGTGGTTGGCAGGGGTTGTACCATTGCCACAGAAGGTGGCGATAATCGTTTCCAGTGGAAAAAGAGGGGCCCTTCTCAAGTCCAAGTCCTCCCAATGACTCCGTGGATGTTCATCTTGCTCAAAAAAATCAGATGGTCTCAACACCTGATGACGGGATGCCAACAACCAACTTCCAAATGGTAGGCACGGTTCTTCACCTTCAAACTGGTCTCCGGTCTCCGCATCTTTTTGAGCTACCCCTCGCAAAGACGACTCTTACAATGTGCAAACTGCTAAGTTCCATTTGGAGCTGCTAAAAGGGCCGGAAACTGCCAACGTGATCGCGAATCAGATCGCTCCAACTGATTCAACACCAAAAATAACTGTGTGTATTCCAAAGGCTCATTGGACCCTTTTACCTAGGGTTTTGAACCTAAAACATGTAGCAGTTTGAGGGACCATGAGTCTTTGCGGTGTATATTTACACTTTGGGACCTACAGTACTTATTCATAGTGTGCCTTTGATTCTTTACCTATGGGCCAGCCGTCTTCGGCCATCTAGCCAAACGGTCCAATGGGGCCCTTCTCGCACTTGGAGAGGTCTAAAGTGATCTGCTCAGGAAGTGGTAAAGTCGCCACCTCCTTTGTGAAGTCTGTGGGCGGCGGCGGTTCTCCAAAGCCCAGATCCAAGAGGTCGTCCTTCTTGACAGGTGCTGCACCGGTGGAGGGCAGCGCCCCCCCCGGGGCCGGGGCTGCTCATGAGATCCAATAGATCTCCCGAGGAGCTGGGGCCTCCGGGGCTCTTCGCAGCCTTCTCTTCAAAGTCCAGCAAGTCCACAGCTGGCTTGGTCTCTTTCACGGGCTCTTTAGGTGTCCTTGGATTTCAACACACCGAACCAAAGGTAAAGCTGATTCGACCAAGTCTCTGGGAAAAAAAACGTAAAAATAAACTCCAAAGTGAGGTGTTGCCCCAACACTTGGCCACTCAAACTTCATGTTCAGTGCAATCTAGCTGATTGAAATGAGGCCCATCGCTGAATCCATGCAGTGCGCAGTGTGGGCAGCAAATAGAAGAACATGAATGCATGCGAGCCTTGATCCACACGTACCCCCCCAAATACACCTTCCACAGTCGATCTCTGCATTTCCCCAACACCCCGACTGTTGCGCCCAAAGCCGTCGGCACTGCCGTCGGCACCGGTCGCCAAGCTTCTCTTTGGACGGCGACGCACTCGGCGAGTAGCCGTGCTCCGCTTGCCGCTCCCGCTGCCGTCGTTCCTCCTCTTCCCGACGCCGCGCCTGCTGCGCTCGACGACGTTCCTTGAGACGCTGGACCCGACGGACCGTGGTGGGCATTCGCACCGTCTCCTCCTGCTCCTGCGGGCGGAGGAGTGGTCGGTGGCCTGAGAAATGTCACAAGTCTCTGACCCCCCCCCGGTGTAAATACAGATGATGTCATCCTGGTCTCCTCTCTTATTGTGACATGTTATCCTAAAATAAAAGTAACATTTTTAATTACCCGTAAAATATATAAATAAGAAACAAATATATTATGTATACCGTCCTCCATGAATGCGTATGCTGAAATTGATCAAAGCACTAGGATGATGTGGATCCACTTGAAACTTCAATGTTGGTTCAATGGGTGTTGGATATACAGCAATACCAAGTAGATGAAGGCCACCCTGCTCCTCCTCTGGATGCCCGCCACCGATTAAGAAGTCCAGGGCTGCCTGAAGCCCAGGCTGGGCCGGGGTTGTGACCGTGTACATCTCTCCAGACTGACATAGATCCCGAAAACGGGACCTGTACCTTGACGGTCTTCCTTTACAAAACCAATCAACAGGTCCACCTTGTTGCCTTCTTAGGGTTGGCCTTTCTCACCTTCTTCACGTGCTGTAGGAAGCCAACTATGGAGGAGGGAGTTGAACTACTACACTACACTACACATATCTACACATTCCCAGACCCTGCTTGGCCAAAGCTGCCTGGGTGTCGTTCTTGAACTTTCTCAAGGCTTGTCGTGCGGGGCCTTCCTCGAAGCCCTGTGACAACAAAGACGAGAGTGACAAGGGATCCACTGGAACGGCTGGACCATCGCTGGCGGCGGAGTCCAAGCCCTCTCC